CGGTAAATCTTCTCGCAGTTTTCTACGGAAACTTCTCGGAAGAAGAAAAACACTTCTCTTCCCTCTACAAACGAACCGACGAATTTCGGGTGATTCAGCCACAACGAATCGTGCCTCTTGGTTATGAGAGGAACGGCGTTGCCCATCGACCTCGTCAGTGCGGAATCCTTGCCGTTGAAATCGGCGACCGTCCCGGCGTACAGGCTACCCTCCGCGAAGACGGACGTTACCTTTTGGTCGACGGCGAACGGACAATTGTACAGACCGTCCGTCGCGTTCCTTCTCCTCCAACCACTCTCCAAGTTCGACATCTCGGCATGAATGCACTTCGGTTTCTGAGCGTTGGTTCCGCAGATCAACACCTGTCTCTTATACACATCTAGATGTGTATAAGAGACAGGTGTTCTTCCTTCCCTTTCAATCTGCACTTCTTCTTGTCGACCGAGTCCGGCATCCAGTCTAACTTCGTAGCCGTCGAGGATTCTAGATTTCGATCGAGATCGAACACGAACGCCGAGTTGTTCGCGCCCACGAACAGGGTTCGCCACTCCTTCATCACTCGCATTTCGACGATGGACGAGATGCCGACGCTCTTTGCAAAATAGACGTCGATTTCGTCTGTCGAAGGCGATTGATCTTCGGTCGGCATAGGATACGCGACCGAAACTAACATCACTATCAGGGCGAAGAAAAGCATGCCGATTGTATTCTACTTTCTTCGTCTCGCGTTCATATGTTGATTTCGAAAACAGTTGTTTCCTTTTAAAGAAGAGATCGTCGAGTATAAAAACAAGAAGAATATGTAATTTGGGTAGCATTGTTTAACATCAAACTCGGAGAAGGAAGCGGGAAGTACAGGGCGAAAAATGGATTGAGACGTTGGACGGTCATGTCCGGCTTCGTACAAGGTTTCGCGGACTTTAGACTCGGATCCGGAGAAGACGTCTATAGTTCCGGCGGCCAGATACTGTTGGATCTCTCCTCCGTCATGACGTGTTCGCGCCCGATCGCAACGACCGTGAGGTTGTTGCGGTTTCTGGACGAAGACTGCAAGTCGCAAGAGGACTTGGGGGACCTGAACGCGTACGTGTTCGCAGTGTCCGTTGCCACATACCTGCTTCTGAACGAAGATCTCAAAGATGCGTTGCTGGAACGGACCAATCGCCATCTGCTGGGGTGCACGAAGAACTTCCGCATCGAGGAGATCAACGAATTCGCGTCCAATCTTATGACGTGCATGGACCGATTTATGGCGAACGATCGTCGATGCCTGGATCTTCTCGGCTGTTGCGAACCGTTCGTCTTCGGCGGTCGAGTGACGGAGGCGCTGAACTCCGTCGCCAGGAACGGCTTCGAGCGACCTGTTGTGCAGGTGCGGATGAACTTCAGAAACGTCGTCGCTTCTCTCGGCACCACCTCGCTGTTCCATCTTCGATTGACCGAAGGTCGAGGACGCGATTGCCAAATTCTGTGGTGGGGCATCTTGAACGCCGACGAGACCGAGAACCGACTATACCTGATTTTGACGTTCAACCAGGAAAAGTGGTGCAACTCGGTTCTGACCGACAAGCGGACGGTGCACGCCCTTTACGAACTCGCACCTAGGTGGCCGAAGTTGCTGAAGTGGACGACAGTGTGCGACGACGTCTCGTGCTACGAGTGTCCTCTGAAGCCGTGTCTCGTTTCCATACCGGAAACGAACTCGGTGTGGTTGGACGTCCACGCGTGCCATCCAAGAAGGGTAAGAAGGGGATACCGCCTGTCGTTGGCGGAAGGTACGATCGGTTCCGCGACGGCCGACGAGCTCCGCGAGCACAACGCCAAGGAGTTGAACGAGTTGATGCGTCGGAAACGCATCCTCGACGAGAAGCTCCGTTCCGGATTGGAAGCCATCGACAGGTTGGCGTCCGACGTGTGCAGCACTTTGACCACCGATGTTAAGGGTAGAAGGAAACGTTTTCACGAGGAGAAGGCCGACGCCGTGGAGAGAGATCTGGACCTTCACATCGAGCAACTTAACGCGGACGTTCTGGGACGCCTCCCCGTCTTGCGGCCTTTACCAGACGTTCTGCCGAACGCGGTTTCCTTGGAATTGTCAATTTACTACGGAACGCACCTGTACCAGGAGGACGTGAGGATCCTGCCGAACTTCGTTCACGGACAGGCGAAAAGACAAAAACGGGCCCCGCAAGGTATTGCGGGTCAGTAACTAACATGCCGCCAACCGAACGAACCGATTCTCGAGAGGCGAGACGCCTGCAACTGAAATGGATGCAGGAAAGAAGGAGGGAACTCTTCGCCGAATTTGTAAACCATTTCGGCGACACCGATCTTCTTCGTAGAACGTTCCAAGAGAGGATGGAACCGTGTCGACGACCCCTTCGAAGTCGTCGATGCTTTGAGAAATGCAAAAGTACTTAAATCAGAGACTGTCTGAACGTCTTCCACCTAGTTCAAAGCGAAGAGAGGAAATTACAGCTCTTCTGGAAGGTGTGGGACACGGTCGTGTTCATCGAATGCGATCTGTCGGATCGATTTCGACCCCAGAGTTATTCCGTCTCCCGCTTCGAGAAACAGATACGGTTATCGTGTGCAAACTACCATAAATTACCCAAAACCAGACGTACGTACCAACGAACGAACGAATGAATGAATAAATAAATAAAACTTGAACAAAAAAAATCATAAACCGGTGTGTGTGGCTTTCAATTTTTTTAAAGTCTGTCTTTCTTTATTGTTTTTCGATGATACTCGAACGATAACTGCGCAGCGTCCCGAGAAATCACCGTTTACGTCGTCTGACGTGACTCCGCCTCGTCTTCGACTTTCCAACGTCTGCAAGATGTCCCGGACCGAATATCGTGGTCCGTCGAGAGACGTCAGACGACCGGCCCTCGATCTTCCTCGGCAATACTTGAACCCCGCAGATCTTCCGCCGGTCCTGTACACGCGATACGTTTCGTCCGAGGACGCTCCGATGGGCTTGTTGGGCAGGAAGGCGCCCGTTGAGGCTGTGTACACGGTGGAAGCTCCGACCTCCGATGACGACGTCCCGCTCGACATGAGATGGCCGTCGAAGGCGGTGGTTCTCGACGAACGACGGGGAGTCCGGTGCAACGTGTCCTTTTCGAACGCGGTGTCCATGGGTGTGTATAAGAGACAGGTAGCATTGCTTAACATAAACAGGACCACGTGGCGCATCCTGGACACGAAGACGATAGCGTACGTTGGCGAAGAGGCCGTTCGCTCGGAAACGGAGGTGTCGGCACGCATCGCGTCGGAGCCGGTACCGACCTGTCTCTCCGTTGATTACGACGCGTCGTTGCACTACGCCCTCCTAGCTCATTTCGGCGACCGGTACTACGACCCCGTCCTGGACAGGATTTCGGTGTCGACTGTCGCGATCAGAACGGGACGGCAACCGGAGAAGCTGCTGAAGGAAATGACGGCGAAACTGTCGGCGTGCAAGGTGTTTCCCGTCAGCGGGTGCTGGCTTTCGACGAACAAGACCTTCTACAGGACGACGGCCGGATGGAAGTACGGTGGCTTGACGTCGACGGAGCTGTTCTCTCACGGCGGAAAGAACATGGAGCGTCACGTCGTTCGGCACGATCCCTGTCTCTTATACACATCTAGATGTGTATAAGAGACAGATTCTCATCAAATAACATGTTTTTAAGAGTATAGAACTACAAGTGGTTCAACTCTCAGTATTTTGTTGAATGCAATCCTATCTAAATGCACTATCATGACTTAAAGGGTGATTTTTAAAGTGTGTTTGTATCTAACGCGTACTGCATCCATGCTGTCTCTTATACACATCTAGATGTGTACCCACAACTTCTCCCAGACTGTACATAGATACCGTTCTGTCGAAAGTTCGGAGCATCGAATCCAAATCCTTTCGGCATTCGTCATCGTCGTCTTTGTCAACATAACGGTCTAAAATAAACAAACGTACTAAAGATTTTTTATTTTTTTTTAACATTGTCACTTTTATTTCATATCTGTCTTCGTTATAACAACAACAACAACATGTACTTTATTTAATTCTGAGTGGTAGGGATACCTCTAGAAGTTTCGTTGACACGAACGAAGGTCATGAAACTCTGACTCCTGGAGATCTGGTCGACAGTCAGGTTGGTCCATGACAGGTTATCGAAGAGCTTGCCGACTTACGCGACAACTTTGTTCCCCCTTCTCAGGATGGCGGCGACCGGAGTGTCGTCCTTATCCAAGTATACCTCCCTGTTAAGATCCGGCACGAGACATTGCAGATGTACGCCGTTGCGTAACTGGAGCGTGGTGCTTCCCTTCAGCTGGCACAACTCGCGTCCAAACGCACCTTCTTCGAACGTGTGATCGAAGTACAAGTACAGCTTGTATTCGACGTCGACACCGTCTTCGAGAGTAAAATACGAGGAGATCGAAGATGACCAGTCGGTAAATCTCTCCACGTCTTCGTCGATGATAGATACTTCGTATCCTCCGTGTATGTCGCGGAGGGTCAGGCGCATTCGACGTTCGCTGCTTTCGGTTGTCGACATTCTCGAATAGTGATCTTCACCGTGCTAACTTCGATCGCGTAATGAGAGAAGGTATCGATAACGGATGCTTTATGAACCTTTTCTGTATCTATCAGAGCACGGTGCAGGCGCACGCGTCCGTCGCGTCCATGTCGACGACTCCGAGTTCGAGATCTCCTGGCAGAGTGCGTCGGTCGACGAAGCGAGGAACGTTGTCGCCGACGACCTACTCTACGCACCGCCGCAATCTCTGCCGCCTTATCCTGTTCTCGTCCATCCGGATGTCGTCTTCCACTTCCCGGTCGTCGTGCGCACCGGAGAGGAGAGGAAACACGTTGATCACCTTTTCCCTGTCCGGCTCGTGGAGCACGGTCGACTCGGACACGCACGGTGGCAGCTTGGTTCCGTTTGAGCGCAACTTCTTCCACAAGCTCGGTTGGAAAACGTCGGCGTCGGCCGGGAACGTCGAGTTTCGTTCGCCGACCTCCGTTAGAAGCCGCAGCGGACGGATCACCGACGAACCCAAGCTCTTCGCGTAACTGCAAAATACGAACCAGTTGCGCGGATTGCGCGGATCGTCGACAAGCTCGTTGACGAAACTTCAAACGTCCGCGTCCGCAAGCTCGAAGTCGAGAACCGGGTCGTTCGATCCCCGCTCGTTCGTCGTCGTCGTCGCCAGCACGAGTTTTTCCGCCTTGACCGCCAGATCTTCGATCGTATCTCTCAGAGTCTCCAACGAGAAGATGGCTGTGAACAGATCGGCGTACAGCCATTCGATACGCCCGGCCGGGTGCCGTGAGAACCTGGGACGAGACCCAAGCTGCACGTTTCCTCCCACTCCCAGATGATTGAGACAG